ACAAAGTTGGTTTTAAGAATACGATTTACGTCATTTGAGTTAAGATTTAACAATGACGAGCGAACAATTGCGTTAAGCAAGAGGAAATGTATCTCCATCAGCAATAAATGAGCATAGCAGAGCGTGTTCTTTTTTCGTTACAGATGCATCTTAAGTGTGGCAGTTCTGCGAGGTGCAGTGTACGCCATAGGAGGTTACGATTATCATAAATATCACAGAACGGCTGAAAGATACGACTGCAAGACGAACGAGTGGTCTTTGATCGCTCCCATGAACACAGAGCGACACAGTACAAGTGCGGCTGTGCTGAATGGTACGTAAATCCTGTGAAACAGATATTAGTGAATTGGTTCAGAAGGCGAGGCGTCTGTCTGTCTGTCTGTCTGTCTGTCTGTCCGCGTGTGAGAACGCAGTAACGGTTGAAGGAATCGCGTGATTAGAGGTTTCTAACGGCGGGGAGTACGAAGATGGCTGTCGTTGGCTTCTGCCGACGTTTCAGGCGAACTTAATTCCTTCATCTTCAAGGCATTCCTCTTCGCTCTTGAACTTAGTTTCCCTCACTTAATCGTCCCATATTCTTTTTTATCTCTTCTTTTATCCGTGCTACGGACTTCGTTATTTCAGACTGCAACGGCTTGAAGTTCTGAGTGCGTGATGGTTTCTTCTGCTCTCGTAAGCTGTCCCTGTGCGTCGTCTTCCGCCTTTTAGTGTGCACTCGGAGTGAGTGCAAACAACCATCAAACTATCAAACTGGCTCTCATATAACACATATAATGCAGTTTCTGTGACTCGAAGGGGGACTTAATAGATTTACAAATTTATTTACGAATTGTCCCATGTTTGTGATCTGCACGGAGCAGTTTAATGCCTCTCCCTAAAACAAATATGTGAACAGTTCGTGTCATATGGCTAATTTGTTTTTACAGACAAAATATACGTCGCTGGTGGAAGAGATGGTAAGAATAAGAAATATCTAAACTCGGTGGAAGTTTATGACCCGGACACCAACCGATGGACGTTCGTTGCACCAATGCATTATCGACGTACCGTGCATTCTTGCGTCGCCTTCCACGGCTGTCTGTACGTCCTAGGTGAGAACTCTGGACATTCTGAGTGATGCCCCTCTGTCCTTCTTACTGAATTTGCTATTGTGAAATGTTTTCCTGGTTTTCTCTGAGTGACTGAGATTTTATGAACAGAATATTTCTCCCGTCATTACAGAGTTAGTTTGTCGGTAATTTTAACCCCGATTCGTGGTTTCGATTACATTCTCCAATTAACTAACTAACTAACGAACTAACTAACATTGTATAATCTCTTGTGGTATCCAAAGTAACGTAAGCCCAATTTTTCACAGAGTTCTAGTTTTACAGGTAAATATTTTGTTCTTGTAGCAAGGAAATTTCAGTTTGCCGCTGTTATCCCCAAAAAGTCGATGGCTTAAAGCAGTCCCTTCGCAGTCTTTGATTTTCGTCACTTGTTTTCTGACGCCGTTTTAAACAGTGCGACTTGTGTTGATATTTAAGGCTACTTTCGCAATCAGTTTCATGAAGCAGAAAACAGATGCCAGGCTCAATTTCCTGACGTTACAAGTACGAAAATAATATTTTAGCTATTTCATCCTTAATTTCGTTCCTGCTACTAATATTAACGCTGCAAAAGGGAATTAGTTTTCTTCGTTGTATTTTATTCATTCGTCCCGTTTACGGATTTACAAATTTTAAGAACGTAAAGTCCGTTGGGTAAGACGGACAGAGTTTGAAGCATCGAAGTTACGAGAAATGCAAACATCTAGAAAGTTATGATTGGTGATGTTGAAGATAACATACCACTTGTGATACATAGTCTTAAAAGGAAGGATAATATTAAAATGTTTTATTGAACTAGAGTATGTTTGAACAGACAGAGAGACTTTTGTGAATAAGGTAATGAATCTTGTGGCTCCATAAAAGCCACATATTTCGTGGCCAGGACTCAGAGTAAAACATATCAAGAAGGGCCCCGCTGAATGGGGCTAGAATAAGTTCTCTTTGGCAGATTTTTTATATCCTGTGACCTGTTACTTAATATTGTGTGTGCAGGAGGATGCAACGACAAATCATGCAGGTTCAGAATCGAAAAGTATGACGCTGCAGAAGACACGTGGACCGAAATCCCTTGGAATATCTTCTATTCGGGTTGCACAGAAGTGATCGACGATATGATCTTTGTCATCCTTAATTATTATAACCCGTGCAGCAACTTCAACCGTGTCGCATGTTTCAATGACAAGGAAAATCAATGGTTTGTTTCTTTGTTTGTTTGATTCTTTGTTTGGTTGTTCAGGGCTGTATAATCACAAACTCTTACTTTCGAAAAGCTCTTGGAAGTGAATCATTTCCGTTCAAGATAACCGCGATCTTGCGGATGCAGCGCCTTGTAGTGTCGAAGAAAGTGACCGACGTTTCAGAGGTTCTTACTGCTTACTCAGGGCCTCGAATAAGAGCGCGAAAAGTGTTTGAGAGGAAGGGGGTAGATTGAAAGCAGGCAGGGCGATGTTGCGGTCAAGCTGAATCCTTAGAGAAGAGGGCGAATGTCTATGCAGTTAACGACGCCTACGATCTTATGTTCCCATTTTTCATGGACTTTTACTTGGAAGTGGCTGTTGAGGGAGTACGTAAGCAGGACTAAAAACATCCTGAAGGCAGATTTCTTCATACTAATTTGTGCAAGAGCCAGAAATTCATTTCATTTTAGTTTGTTGTCTGTTTTACATCTAGCAGAACCTCTCCGGAAATATTTTTGGTTGGACAAATTTTTTTGAAAATATATTGCTAAAAGAGGGAAATATTGTTATGGGCGCATGTCTCAAACAAAACACGCTTATCTCTCCAAAGAAAGTGTGTGATTAAATTTATTATTCTGACCTAAGGTAATGGCTTATTGAAATGTACCAAACGCAGCTAGTGCAGAACACAAGTCATTTGACAGCGTTTTGAAATAGTCATAACCTCTCCCTCCACTTCGATGTAATAAAATGTATTGCGTTATAATAGGACGTTGGCCCATGTTCTATGTGCATGAGTGAAAGAAGGATCACGTCGGAACTGTTCTGAAATATGGTGAGGCAATCGTGCACTGAATTCCGATTGGGGGAATTTTTGTTAAGGTTGTCAAGAAACAAAATACAAACAACGTTATTTCGGTGGAAGCTGTGCCCTTAGCT